CGTGTCGACAATATCTTTGCTTTCAGGAAGATTCACGTGGCCAGTCCCTTGAAGGTCAATATAGTATGCACCCTGGGAGTTTATTCCACGCACTCACCCTGGCTATATCCTTTACTTCTCTTTCCCCAAGTTCTTTGCCTGCTTTTCCAAATCTTCTTGATCTCATAGAGGTTCTGGGTAAACCACCCCCAAAACAGAGCTCCGGTCAGATTATTGGTCCCTGTGTTGTAGAGTATTTTGTTCAAGAGTTAGAGTTGGAGGATGAGGTATGCACGGAGCCCTAGGGAACATTTTCCTTCCTTCGGGGAGCTGGTGTCAGCACAGCAGGCAAGCATCCTGGCTTTCTGGAATCTGCCCAGTAGGAACAACTTAGTAGAACACTGTCAGCCTCTTAGGCCAGGTCATGATGGAATCACAGGGTGCCCCTAGGCAAAGCCTGAGCCAACCCACGGGGGCCGAGTTCTGCTTCTGGAGGACAGATATTGTTCTTGGCAGGAAATGTACTGACAATTGCAGCTATGAGAATCCATGACCCTAAATCATTTCAAGGACCTGATGGATAGGATTATAATGTGTTTCTCCTGTTCTTTTCAAGTAAATGCTCATAAAAGAAACTCCTTTATGCAGCAAAAGTAGATGGCTTCTAAAGTGTGTCCATTTCCACCTTTGCTGAGTTATACATACTTGGTAACTTAATTTTCCTCTTGCTTCAGGAGGCTGATTTTATCCCCAAAGTATAATGAATTATGATGTTACTCACTTGAAAGTAAGTTAGTGCTCAGGTAAAAAAAAAAAGCCAGCAAAACAATACCTGGAAATGAAATCCTTTCTATCTATTGAACTGGATTTTTGAACCTCTGGCGAGCAATAATAATATTGTTGTGTGGGTAAGAGGTGCTGTTGGAATCAGGAACACTTTAATTCAAACCTTGCCTCAGACAGTTACTAGCTCTGTGACCCTGGGCAAGTCACTTAATCCTGTTTGCCTTGCTTTCTTTACCTATGAAATAGATATAATAGGAGCAGCTACCTCACGAGGTTGTTTTGAAAGTCATATTAAGATCATATACGTACAGCATTTCACAAATCTTAAGATACTATATAAATACTAGATATAAATAACAATAATAATAAAGAATAATAATATTCAGTGCTTTACGATTTGCAAAGAACTTTACATATATTCTTTTATTTGATCATCACAACAATTACATGAGTCAGGTATTGTTATCTCCATTTCATAGATGACAAAATTGAGACTTTGAAAGGTAAAGATGTCTGCATGAGGTCACACAGCTAACAGTTGCCTAAAGCAGGATTTGAACCCAAGTCTTCCTGGCTCCACATCACATCTACTCTTCTAGTCTATCTATGTCTTCCCAAGAGCTTATAGTCTGGTTCTCAAAGGACCTGTACTTAATCACTGCTGGATTTACCTCCCAAAATTTTGTGCCAGTTAGGAGATCTGGAATGTGATGGGCCCCCAGGTGTCATTTATGACCCATGAAGGTCCACACAGCTGTGCATTGAGTTGGGTATGCTTGGGGGGTAGAGGGGAATCATAGATTCAGCTCTCCAAGATATCTTAAAGTCCAGACCCCTCCTGTTAGAATTGAGAAAATTGAGGGCAGAGAGAGATTCCATGGTTTATCTAGTGTCCCACAGCAGAGCTGGGATTGGAACTGGAGGTTCTGATTTCAAATCCCTTGCTCCTTCCCTTGCCTCACACTGTTTTTCCAGAGATCCAGAAATAGAGCACCCTACCAAACTCCATTTCCTCTCTTTTGCCTTTCTTTGTAGCCAGCACTAAACACATTCAACACATAGAAAGCTGTACATAAATGCTGCTTGACTTGCTAGAATGGCCTCCCTCTTGCCTCTACTTTTTGTTCTAGAATTCCCCCAGCTACTAGTGCCTTTCCCCTCAAAAGAAGATCATATTGTGTTTGTATGTACTTGTCCCCCTGGAGAAATATGCAGAATATTAGCTTTCTTAAGGCAAGACTGTTTATTTTGATCTTTGCCACTGTAGTGTCTGGAACACAGTTGGCACTTAATGATAATTTATTGAGTCTTCATCTATTGGCATCAGTGACCATCTCCTCCAACCTATACCTGATTAGGAAGACACCTTAAAATATTCATGACTGGTCATGCAACCTCTTCTTCGGGACCTCATTGATGGGAAACTTATTAAGGCAATCTATTCTACATTTGAGCAGCTCTAATAATTTGGAATCTTTTCCTTATGATGTGCCACCATTATATCTCCATAACTTTAATTAAAAGATTTTTCTTTAATTAAAAGATTTTTTCTTTAATTTCTTTAATTAAAAATTTAATTTTCTTTAATTAAAAGATTTCCCCCCAATAAATGAGCATTATTTTTCCTCTCTCTCACCTCACTCCAAATGAAAACAAAGCAAAACATTTGTAAGAAATATACTTAGTCAAGCAAAACCAGCCCTCACATTGGCGATGTCCAGAAATGTGTATCTCATTCTGTGTATTTAGTCTATCACCTTAGTCCTCTTAAATTATAGTTGGTTATTGCTTTGCTTAGAATTATGTCTTTTAAAGTTGTTTGACTGTCTAATATTGATACTCTCGTATAAAGAGTTCTGCTGACTCTATTCATTGCACTTTGCATCAGTTCATCCGAGTTTTCCCAGGTTTCTCTGAAGCTATCATTTTCTTTTTTAATAGTATTTTTTTTTACCAATTACATGTAAAAACAAGTTTTAGCTTTCATTTTTATGAGGTTTTGAGTTCTAAATTTTTCTCCCTCTCTCCTCTGCCCTCTTCCAAAAATGGTAGGCAATTTCATATAGGTTGTACATGTGCTATCATGTAAAATATACTTCTATGTTAGCCACAGTTATGAAAGAAGAAACAGATCAAAAGGAAAAAAAACATGAAAAAGAATAAAGTAAATGAAAGAAAAATATACTTCAATCTGAATTCAGTCTATCAGTTCTTTATCTGAATATGGATAGCATTTTTCTTTGTGAATCCTTTGTAACTTGTATTGCTGAGAAGAGCTGAGTCATTCACAGTTGGTCATCATATGATGTTGCTAATACTGTATGCAATGTTTTCTTGGTTCTGCTCATTTCACTTTGCATCAGTTTGTACAAGTCCTTCCAGGTTTTTCTGAAATCTGCCCGTTCATCATTTCTTATTGCACAATAGTTTGTGAAGCTTGCTCAGCCATTCCCCAGTTGATGGGCATCCCCTCGATTTCCAATGTTTTGCCACCACAAAAATGGCTGCTGTAAATATTTTTGCATGTGAAGGTCCTTTTCCCTTTTTTATGATCTCTTTGGGCTACAGACCTAATAGTGCTATTGCTGCATCAACGGGTATGTATTTGGTTACCCATTGGGCATAGTTCCAGATTGTGAAGCTATCATTTTCATCATTCCTTCTAGCACAGTAGTATTCCATCACATTTATCTGCCATAATTTCTCCAGCCATACCCCATTTAATGCTGCACCTTAATTTCTAGTTCTTTGTCACTACAAAAAGAGCTGGGTAATTTTTTTTTACCTCTGGGTCATTTTCCTCCTTTTTTTTTAATCTCTTTTGGGATATAGGCCTTGAAGTTGTATCTTTTCTGCAACTTCTACACATCTCTCACAGTAATATTTCCTTTGGGGCCAAAGGGAAATAAGTATACAGTAGTTTATCTTTTTTCCCTATGGAAATATAGGGACTAAATTAACAATTTCCCTTGCTCCAATCTCTTAGAGGAGAATCTTTCTCCCTTTTCCGTACCCTCTCTCAGCTCCTCATCAGCAGGGCTTGCTTCACTTCTTTCTCACCATTCCCCAAGTGCTCTGGCTGCTGGAAGTTAGAGGGGTTTTATTTTCCCTTTCCTTTGATGTGGTAGTCATCATAAGTAGAGGACCTCTAGCTATAGCAGGGAGATGGATGCTCCTGCAACAGCCACCACAGGGGCTGAGGAGGAGACATGTCTGGGCCTCCAGGGAGTATGAGGGAGTTTGGTCACTGTTCCTTTAAAGTCCTGTGTCAGGGGATCCTGGGGGCAGGAGAGTCCATCGAGAGGATGTAGGGACACAAGGGCACTAGATCAGATGGAGTTGGCTACATCTGCAAGGGCTTCCTGGGGCCCTAGGTGCTGTGAGATAAGGTTGTCTTTAGAAATGGGATGTTTGAGGCAGGTTTGGTGGTATTGCAAGGAACATCCTTAGCAAGACTGACATGGAAAAAAGAAATAGAGTTCCTGAGGCCCTGCAAGCTAGAGAAATGAGTCCCAGACTCAGGTGACCATTTTTATGTAAGGGGCATTCATAAATCAGGCTTATGGAGTCTGCTCGTCCCTATTTACAGGTTGCCAGAATCAGTCTCCTAGACCAAAATATTTTCCACCAGGAGACCATTTAATGTGCAAAAGTTATTTCATGAGAAACATGAAAGTTATAGCCTCAGGAAAAGGAGAGAATATGGCATAATAAAAGTTCCCATTTATGTCATGCCTCAAGGTTTGTAAAACATTTTTCTCAAAATAACCCTTTAATGGAGGTAGCACAAGTGTTATTTATTGTGACAACTAAGAAAATTGAGGCTGAGAGGTGTTAAGTGGCCTGCCCATGGTAAGTATGGTAGCTGAGATTTATATCCAGATGCCAAGTCCAGTAGTCTTTCCCCTATTGTGCTGTCTTGGCCTTATTGTTTTGGGTTTGAAAATGACAGAAATCTCCTCAGTCACTTCACCAGTTTACAGATTAAAAACTCTCTGTGTGTGTGTGTGTGTGTGTGTGTGTGTGTGTGTGTGTGTGTGTGTGTGTGTGTGTGTATTTTCTCCAACTCTGCTAGGATGACGTGAATGGTAGGTTTTGATCATGCAAGTATAGTTTTTTGCTTTGGGGGCCTCAGAATGTAATTTATACTGATTATAACAAAGGGGGCATGGACCTTATAAGCTCTTGACAGCATATTTAAACATTATCGTCTCCTCTTTGTTCTCTTCTCTCAGGATGCAGGAAGCCAACAGATAGGATTTTTACTTGGAAGCTGTGGAGTTACTGTGGCCTTGACTAGCGATGCCTGCCATAAAGGACTGCCAAAAAGCCCAACGGGGGAGATACCACAGTTTAAAGGTAAGGCTGTCATATATTCACTTCTGAGTCACTGTTTGGGGGTTCGACAATCCGAGTTCTATATTCCAAGCATTTAAAGAGTCTCGTTGGCTGAGCATGTCAGAATCACGTCTCTCCCTCTCACTTTGCTATTTCAGAAGCTTTAGCTTTTATCTGTCTATATGATAAATGACAGACTCCTCCATTTGTCACTTAAAGCTCTTCACTGCTTAGCCTCAACTTGTGTTTCCAGACTATTTTCACATTACTCTCCTTCAGGTGTTCCAGGTTAGCCAAACTGACCTACTTTTATTCCCTGTCCTGGACATCCTTTTTCCCACCTCCATACTTTTGTCCCCCATGGCTGGAATGTACTCTCTCTTGCCTTTCCCTTTCTTTTGGAATCCCAAGATCTTCTCAAGGCCCAGCTCAAGCTTCACTTCCTTCAAGGACCCTCCTTCATTCCCTTTGTTTTTAGTGCTTCTGTCTTCCCCTCATGAAGTCACTTTGTATTTGTGTGTGTATGTATGTATGTATATATTGATATTTGTAACACATACATACATAATTATAGAGATATATTGTATATGAACAACAGGTACCCTAATAAATATAAAGTAAATATATCACACACACATACACATGTATGTACATATACATATGTTTATATATACACATGTATATATGGATATACACATGTATTGCCTAAATACATGAACACACATGTATATATGGGACTGTTTAATTTTTGCCTTTACATGCCTGGAGCCTAGGACACTATTTGGTCCATAGAAGGTACTGAACTTTTAAAAATTGAATTAAATATGCCTAGTGTAGCTTGAAATATTCTTTGAAGAGCAACGTATAGACAGAAAAATCCTTACCAGGGTTTTTAAATGCCGTACCCTTTTTGGGTGAGTGCCAACCAAAAAGATGTTTGTCATTTATTCCCAAGGTTGGCCAAAGCTCTTATGGTTCGTCACAGAGTCTAAGCATCTTTCTAAGCCTCCTCGGGATTGGTTCCCACACATCAAGGATGCAAATAATGACACTGCTTATATTGAGGTAAGTCAGATGTGATCCATTCCCATTGTACTGAATGGATATTTGGGGTATCTAATCATGTGTGTTTATGATTGTTTTTAAGTCCCGTGAGCAAGAAGCACATAATATTGGAAATGGCTGTGAGATAAATCTAATTATTATTGTTTCCTAACACAACTCTGCCGTGCACGGTCTTTAATCTTCCCTTTTTTTCTATTTTAGTATAAAACGTGTAAAGATGGAAGCGTGCTTGGGGTGACTGTAACAAGAATTGCGCTGCTCACGCACTGTCAAGCCCTCACCCAGGCGTGTGGCTACACCGAAGGTACAGGCCTGCACCCAAGAGCATCTTCTGCAAAGATGTGACTTTCTTGGGCCTGGGATTGTGGCTTTCCACTTGACTCTTGATGTTTTTCTGGGAGTGATTTGCTTACTTCTGCTAGAATCTCCGATAGTGTCGGATTCTTGCCCAGTGTAATCTCAGGAATTCAGTAGTTGAAAGTCAGTCTCTGTCAGAGAATGAACAGGAAAAGTGAAAGAATAAATGCAGCTAGGAGGCAGCAGTATGGTAAAGGGGGAAAAGCATCAGACTGGGAATCAGGGCACTGGGTTCTAGTCTCCACTCCTGACACTCAATAGCAAGGTGACTTGGGCAAGTCACGTGCCTATTTCATCTTCACTTTCCTCAATCTATAAAATGAAATCACTGAACCAGATTGTTTCTTTTTTTAGAAAAAAAAATTGAAATTTTATTTCTTTTTGATTAAAAAGCATTACTTTTCACTCCCTCCCACTTCCTCCCCCCTTACCCAAATTGAAAAAGGAAGAAAGACAAAACCTGTGTACCAAATAGATATAGTCAAGCAAAACAAATTCCCACGTTGCCCATGTGCAAAAAATTTGTGTCTTATTCATCACCTTGTGTAAATCACCTCTCTGTCATAAGCATGACACTTGGTAGTGGGCACCGTCTTTGGTGCTCTGGAGTCATGGTTGATCATTGCATCAGAGTTCTTGAGCTTTCAGAGTTGTTTTTCATTACAATACTGATATTATGGGATAAAAACCCAAGTTATTTCTAAAAAAACAACTTTAAGAATCTATGACTTAGAGTCTTTTGCTGGAAAAATTACTCTAACAGGGACAAACATTCTACAGTATTTCTATCTCTCAGAAGTCCCCAAGGTGATTTTTAGTGGAATTCTCCTCATGCAACCCTTTTGTCCTTTCTCTTTTCTGTTCTCTTCCTCCCTCTTTCTTTATCCATCTGCTGAAAAATATTTGCTTGAAAAAATCCCTCTGCAAAAACATTCCTCTGATTGTTAATCCGCAAAACAGGGGTTCCATGGAAGAGTTTTGTAAAGCATAACAACTAAGAATATATAATGTAGACTACAGTGTGATATCAAGGTATATTATTTTTTATTAAGTGCCCACAGAGTTTGGTCATAGGCCACCTAGAACAAATAGGGAGGTAGTGAAAATGTTTTCAGATCTTTTGTCAAGGGTACCATCATTTGTCCCATCACTCAGGTTCTAAACCTTAGGATCATATGGGAATTCTTCCTTTTTCTCACCTCCCCGCTCCCTGCTAGGTGTTGTTACTTCTGTCTCTTCAACTTAACATTTAGCATCTGTCCCCTTCCCTCTGTTCATATAAGACACATTGGCCCAGCCTCTCATGAACCTTTCTCCTGGACTTCTGCAAAAGAAATGGGTCTCCCTATCTTTAGTCCCTTTTTTCTCCAAGGTATCATCCACATAGCTACCATTTCTTTTTTTGACCTTGGGTCTATCTCTCTTGCCCAGGATCTAAGTGCAGTGGCTACCCAGAGGTTCAAATGCCAGTACAGATTGGTACTGATTTGACCTGCTCTGTTTTTACGACTTGAAGTGATTCTCCCCTCCTTATACAGCCTGGTGAACTTCTGCTCCCAGGGACCCACCATATTGGTGCTAGACTAGTGAGGACACCAAATTTACTTTAGACCCACTGCAGCTAAGAACTCCTGGGTTCAAGCGATCCACTAGTCTCGGCTTCCCCAGAAGCAGGGACTGTAGGTTTGTGCTACCGTGTCCAGTCTTAACTGCCTAATTGATATTTCTAAGGCACACACAAGTCTCATCACATGACTCACTTGTTCCAGAAGTCTTCATGGTACCCCATTTCCTTTAGGATAAATTATAACTCTTCTTTTTGGCATTTAAAGCCCCTCCTAGTCTGCCTGTAGGCTCCCTTCCTAGTCTGATGGCATAATAGTCTTTTAAGAAAGAAGAGTAGACACCATGCACTCCAATCAAACTGGCATACTTACCCTTCACTGTACATGACATGGCCTCTCCTGCCCTCATACATTTGTATAGACAATACCTTATATCAGGAATGCTCTTCGTTCTCACCTCTCTGATTCTTGGTGTCCCTAGCTCCCTTCAAGGCTAAGCTCATGTGCCACTTCTTTCCAAAGGCCTTTTCTAATTCCTCTAGTTATCAGTGTCTCCCCCATCACTGTGTATTTATTCTCCTTTTACTTATCTGTAAACGCATTATAGTCCTTAAGTAGAATGAAAGGTCCTTGCAGAAAATGACTGTCTCACTTTGATATTTGTCTCCTCAGGACTTAGGATGGTACCTGGCATATAGCAAGCACTTAAAAGTGTGGTTTTTTTCATTTGATCACTAACTGTGATTTCACAAGCAGAATATTATTAATAGCTCTATCTCTTATCTTCTCTATATTTTAATGATAGCTGGAAGCCATAGCATCTAAGTTTCAAATCATCGTTTCTACTGCCCACCCACATACATTTGTACTTTGATGAAGATTGGACAAGTTTGGGGATTTTTTTGTTGTTTTTTCTCTTGCTGTTAGTTTTTCAGATAAGGCAATAATATTATCTACTGCTTGTTTGTGTACAGTTCACTTTCCCGTGAATCTCTTTTGAATAATTTTTCCTCATTTTTTCCATCATGCCTTTTTTTCCTTATAAATATGATTCAGTGTTTATGAATTTTGGGGAACCTGCTGTTCTATTACATTTAATAGGGGAAAGAAAATTCCTGTTGTTGTCCTCTTTAACACTCCCTCCCTTGCCCCCATCTTTACATTTTGTCTCTTACACTCCAATTCATAGCTGAACCAGTCCAAAGCCTGCTAGTGATTTAGCCTCTCCTGTGAAAGCAACAGTTCTAGAGGATAAAGGATGTTTTGGTTTTTTCAGAATCTATTTGGGAGCATCAGATTTTCTGTGAAAATAAGCTGAATTAACATTAGTCTGTCACTCATATTTACCTTTTGGTTTTAAGTTGCTTTTTGCCTCTGTGCTGGGCTATAACAAGTAATGTCTTTTTGATATTTTGGTTGAACAGCTGAAACAATTGTGAATGTATTAGATTTCAAGAAAGATGTTGGCCTTTGGCATGGGATCTTGACGGTGAGTATGTGACCACCCCCTGCATGCCCCTTCTTTCCCCTGTCCTTCCCCAGCCTCATGTCTGTACATATTTAAAAATGTCCCTCCTTGAGGTTCTTAGAACCAGAAGGATGTTGGCTTGTGCTTGGATTCATAATAACATACTTTCCTTCATATTTTTAAGAAAGATAATTATTGCCTTTTAAAGGAAAATAAGACCCACATTGTCAGCTAGTTCAACTCCTTCCCAGGCAGTAAAACCAAGCTGGTTTCAGTGGCAACAGATTTTAGTCACTGACCCACATATTGAGATTACAGCTGCTGAGGGGAGCCTTTCTTACACCCATTTGTAGTTCAACAAATGAACATCCCCACCCCCTACCATGCTGTTTTTCAGAGCAGGAAATAATGTCATCCATTGCTTGTTTATATTCAGTTTACTTTCCCATGAATCTGTTTGGGATAAACTTTCCTTGATTCTTCCCTTATGCCATCTTAAAAAAAAAAGATTCTGTGTTTATGAATGTTGGAGGATCTAGTGTTCCATAATACTGAAGAGGGGGAAAAGGGAAAGAAAATGCCTAGCATTTAATTGCCCCATTTTCTGATGAAAACTCAGCATGAGTTGAACAGAAATATGTATCTTATTATTATGGATGTCAACCAATGGATGGTGACAGTTCCAGAATGAAAGTATGTTGGGAGAGAAATAAGCCTATTTATTTGTTTAGCTGGTAGCTTTTAAAAACATGTTTAGCATAACCACCCAGAAATCACTGCATGCCTGTTTCATGTCTAAGAATTTTCATTTCTTTCTTTCACCTGCCCCCCCCATTTTTTACAATTATTCCATGAAGAGTAGAGGATAAATAAAACAATAGGGTGAAGTTCATTGTCCAAGGCGTTCAACCAGAATTGATCCAAATAGTGGGAGGCAGAGTAGAAATTGTGCTGGACCTAAGAGTCAGGAGTGAATCCCACTTCAGACAACAACTCTGTGTGTGTGTGTGTGTGTGTGTGTGCGCGCACGCGCGCATGGGCAAGTCAGTGAACCTTTCCAAGTCTGTTTCTTCTTCTGAAAAATTGGGATAATATTTGTGCTATCTACCTCACAAGGTTTTCTGTGAGGCTCAAATAAGATAATGCTTGTAAAATTCTTTGCAAATCTCAAAGCACTATGTAATTGCCAGAGGTTGTTATCATATTATTATATCATATTATGATATTATTTTATTGCATTATGCAGGTGCCCAAACCAACCTTAGCTTACTTCTTTATTAACATGCTGTATTTCTCCTCTGGCTATAACATTAGTCAATAAGATTTAGTGGACTAATGAAAATAGCTCACTGTTTTACATGAGCATTGCATTCAATTCTTCATTATACGGTGTCCCAAAAGTCTTAGGGATACTCTAATATTTGGGTCACCCTGTATATAGGTGATTTGCTGTGGGCCCTTGGACAGGTCATCTTTTCTGAACTTCATTATCCCCATTTTTTACATGAGGAAATTAATAGACTACCAATCTCCCAGGGTTGTTGTGAGGATTCATTGAGATAATCTGTATAAGCCTTTGTAATGAGGCCGTTAGGTGACACAGTACAGAAAATTCTAGGCTTGGATTCAGGAAGCCCTGAATTCAAATACTGCCTCAGACACTTAATTAGCTATGACCCTAGACAAGTCACTTACCCTCTATCAGCCTCAGTTTCCTCATCTGTAAAAATAAGGAGGTTGAACCCAGTGACCTCTAAGCCCCTTCCAACTCTGTCTTTGATCCTATGATCTTGTGAACTTAAAAATGCCATATAAATAAATGAATCAGGAAATATCAGAGCTCTAAAGTACCTTACAAATGCAAGGTCGTTAATCTTCTTAATTTAACATTTGAGGCCCTGGAGGGCAAGTGACTTGGCCAAGATCATATAGTTATTGTTGTTGTTGTGGTCCACATTATGATTTATTTGGGGGAAATCTTGTTTTAATTTCTTTGTGACATTTTACCTACTTGGCTGAAGTCCATCACTGCCTCTGTTGATTATCACACTGAATGACAGCCTGTAGCGTAGCAGGAGCTAGAAGGAAAGGGAGTTTGAAATCTCTTCTGAATTACCTTTCCTCTGGCAGAGGGAAAGATAGTCTTCTTTAGGCCGGTACTTTGCATCCCTTTGAAAGAGGAAGTTCATTCTCAGCATAGGGAACAAAGAAGGGTTCAAATAGAAAGCCAGGGAGTCGAATAGTGAAATAGGGCAGCTCTCCAGTTGGTTATCAGTTGTAAGCATTGTGTGTATATAAATAAATATATATGGATAGATATAGCTAAACATAGCTATACATACAAATACACAAACATGCATATATATACACAAATATACATATGCATGTATGTATATGTCTATTAGATATATAGGGTATCCCAAAATAAGCTTAAAACTACACTAAGATTTTTTTGATATCCTCTATATATGTAGGATATATTTTGATATCCTCTATATATGTAATTTATTTCCCAAGTTGGTTTTATATAATATGATCACAATACAGCTTATTTTATGAGCTATGAATTTTCCCAATATGGCTCATGCATATTCAAATAAAAAGAAGAAAATAACATCTCATAGCAAAACACAAATTTGGGGGGAATTATATACTATTTCATACTATTCACATCTGTTCTCTAATTCCATTGGTGTAGGTAAGAGAGCCTGCCATATAGTAAACAGTTAAATACTGTATTTAAAAACAAGTCTGTTCTTTTAGTCATTAATTTTTTTTGGACTTGACATGTGATTTCATTAGTGTAGAGAACTCCCAATGAGGAAAAACCCCTTCTGAATGAAGTTGGGCACCAGCTTTTTGTGACTTAAAACCATAGATACTTGACTTCAATTTGCTATAAGGAAAATTCTCTCTCTCTGTCTCTCTCTCTCTCTCTCTGTCTCTCTCTCTCTGTCTCTCTGTCTTCTGTCTCTCTCTCTCTCTCTCCCTCTCTCCCTCCCTCCCTCTCTCCTCTCTCCCCCCTCCCTCTCTCCCACCAGCCCTCTCTCTCCCCTCTCTCTCCCTCTCCTCTCTTTCCCTTTCCTTCTTCCCCTCTCCCCCTCTCCTTCTCTCCCTCTCCCTTTCCTTTTCTCCTTCTCTCTCCTTCTCTCCCTCTTCCCTCCCCTCACATCATATGTAAGGCCACATATCCACTGACACAGCTGATTGGAGGACTGAAGAATTATCTGGATGATTGAAGCAAATCTCCCACTCCTTCTCCACTCCTTAGGGTTATATTTAATTAAAGGCATAATGCCAGAATGCTTAGGGGGTTGAGAAATAGAGCTCATTAGATAAAGGTAGTGGAGGTCAAGCTTCAAGTATGTGAAAGGCTATATTATAAAAAGGATGATAACCTCCTCTCCTAAAGGAGGAAAAAAGAATGGGGCTTAAATATCATCAAGAGGAATTTGAGTTAGACCTGTGGCATAAAAGACCAGATTACCTTTTGGCAGTCTTTTTCAGTCCCAAGAGTGTCTAAAGGGATTAACAAAAAGATGTTCGCAGATGGTCTCAGGGCCTCTAGAGGAATCAACAAGATGTTTACTCTGGGGAAAACTTGAGGCTCAAAAAACTTGAGCATAGCAGAGTCGAAGAGCACAGAATATGGAGTCAAAGGACTAGGTTCATATTCTAGCTCTACTACCTGTGTCATTGACCTTGTACAAGCCCTTGTTTTGAAGATTGTTGCAGACTCATAACAGGCTGGATCAGAGAAAAAACCCCTGAATGAGATTTTCATCAGCACTTTGGGGAACTCAACATCCTCATTTATAAATTAAGGGGATTGAATTAATTGATCTCTAAGGTTCCTTCCAGCTGTAAGTCCTAGTAGTTTGGGAACCCACTACAAGATAAATTTCCCACCAGGTGTTTAAGTTGTTCTTCCTACAAAGTCCTGGCATGTTTATCACGCCAATATGGTGGGTCTTCTCTGGTTATTAATGTTTTGAAGACAGCATGTGTGCATTTCCATGTGAATTTATTTCATTTTTATTCCAGAGTGTCATGAATATGATGCATGTGATCAGTATCCCATATTCCTTAATGAAAGTGAACCCCCTTTCCTGGATACAGAAGGTCTGCCAATACAAAGGTAAGGACCTGAGACCTTCAGTTCAATCAGAGATGTTACAAGGAGATGTCTGTTTGATTTCCACAGAATTTCTGTGCAGTCAATAATTGCTATTACACAGTTAGTCATAATGCCCCATTCCCTGCTGTTCTATTCTTGGAACATGTAGCCTGATCCAGGGCAGCTTCCTACTTTTTCATTAACATTTTTTTTTTCAGCCAAAGTGGCTTGTGTCAAATCCAGGGACATGCATTGGGCACTAGTTGCACATCGCGATCAAAGAGATATCAATCTCTCTTCTCTCCGTATGCTGATAGTTGCTGATGGAGCAAACCCCTGTAAGTAATGTCCTCAAAATTCTTCCCTCAGGAACAAAACGTCCAGTAGAGATTCTCATATTCTATGGGCAATGCCACTTTCAGTGTTGTTTTGTATTTTTAGTCCTTATCTGGTTAAGAAGCAAAACTTCCAAATACTAACCAGACAAGTTGATTGCAAGGTTTCTTGGGATACAAATTGTTTTTTGAATTTTTCTTGAGCAAATCTTGCAACAAACTTAGTCTCTATAACATAAGCTATAATAAACCAAGTTTTTTTCTACTTTGGAAACAACATATAAACATTAAAACAAAGTGTTGTGCCTTTACTTTTACACAAGATACAAATGCTTTCAAGACTCTTAAATGGAATGAGGCACAGGGCACGTACATTATTAATTGTGAATGGTGGCTTAAAGAAGATCGAAGAGGGTAAGAAAAATGTCTAAGCAACCTGCTATGAGAAATTTGAGGAAGAAAAGATCACTTTCGGTTATGGAGCTAAGGAATGACTTAATGGAGGAGATATTGTCTTAGTTGGGCCTTGAAGGAAGGGAAGGGCTTCAGAAGATGGAGGTGGTAGAGATGAAGAGTCCATCATAGACACTGAGCCCATTCTGAACAAAGAAAGCAAAGAGATAGAAGGGGGCTACACAGAAATAGGGAAATGTGTGGAGAATAATTCAGTTTGACTGAAATGGAGAGTGTGTGAATTTAAATGATATGAAAAAAAGGCTGGAACAAGAGGGATGAAAGCAGATTATGGAGGGCTTGAATGCAGGACTTGGAGGTTTATGTATTAATAGGTAAACAGTAGGGAGTTTTTCAAGATTTTTTAGTAGAGGGGTGATATAATCAAAGGAATATATTAAGATTATTTGGGTAGCAGTATGAAAGTTTGATGGGAGTGTAGATAATCTGGAGGCAACAAGACCAATCAGAAATTATCAAGCTAGTCTAGATAATAGGATAAGCACTTGAACTAGGATGGTCATGGTGGGAGTAGGAAAGAGGGCATAAATGTGTAAGATATGGTATTTCTAAGGTACAAGTTACAAGACTTGGCAACTAATTGGATTAAAGGGGGGGAAAAGAGGGAAGAGACAGGTAACTTCATAGTTATGATTTTAGCTGACTAGGTGATGATGGTCAACAAAATCAACATCAAGAAAAATAAAGAAGTAAAAGTTTAATGGGGAAATTGAGAAATTTCAGATATGTTACTTTGAGATGTCCCTGGGATATCCAGCAGGCAGATGAAAATATAGAATTGGAGCTCTGGAGAGAGATTAAAGGTAGAGATATAGATCTAGAAATGATCTGCATAGAAGTAAAAATGTAAGCCATCGGAGTGGCTATAATCACCCAGCCAAACAATATCTAGAGAGAAGATGGCTAAGGATAAAACCTTGGACAACATGTTTATGGGAAGGGACAGACTGATAAACCAGAAAAGAAGTCAGAGAAGGAATGGTCAGAAAAATGGGAGGAAAACCACAAGACTGTCATGTTCAAGGGTGGATATGATATAAGGAAGAAGGAAGTAAACAACCATGTAAAATGCTGCTAGGAGAACCAGCTAATGAGAATGACACAGGGAGGGGGAAAAAAGAAAACAACCTTTAGTGATAAGATCATTAGTGACCTTGTAAGGAAGTCTTTCTAGAGTGGTAGAGACAGAAATCACATTGCAAGGATGAATTGCTGATGGTGAAGTGGAGGCTGTGAGTACAAACTTCTGTTCTTTCCAGAAGCTGGTCACTTAAGGAGAGGGAGGACGGTAGCCTAGGTCACATTTTAGATTCAAAGACAGGGTTTGTGATTGGTTGGTTTATTTGAAATGTAGAGGAAAATGGAGCAGCATTTTAGACCATGGAAAAAGGAGCTTGTTGGTAGGGAGAAAATGAAGATTCATGAGAGAGCAGGTCTTATTGTTGGGGCAGGATTATAGAGGAGCAGAAGAGAATGGCACTTTGGGTAGAGGGAGAGGTATGAGCTCCAGCAAGAAGGAGGGCCATCTTTTCCCCTCACATTGGAGGGACTGAGGAAAAGAGAGGAGAAGGCATTGAGAGATTTAGAGGTGTGTAGTCAGAGAGTCTGAGAGTTACACATGGGATGGCCTCAAACATTCCAAAGGGAAACTAAGCTTTAAGTACTAAGCTATAAGATGTTTTTATGTAAATAAAACCCATGTAATAAAACCTATATAAATAAACATTTTAAGGAATATTTTCTCCATTTAATTTTGAAGAGGCTTTGATTCAGATCTGCTCCTCCCTTACAATGTGCTTATTAAAATTGCCAGACCAATTTCTTGACAAAAAATGAAAATATCAATCAGGAAAAAATATGATGAGGATATAGATGGAAACAGTCTACTTTTCAATCCATGAGTCATGGCCCCTTTTACTGTTGAATTTTGAAAAGGTGTTATTTCTTACTGTCAAATACATAGTACAATGTTATGAGAGGAGGCATTTTTTTTCCTTATCTAATTCCTTTTGTACCTCAATCTCACCATCTTAAAATCCTATATCATGATATATTTTAATATATAAATCATGTTACTTCAGTGGTCTGATTTTTTTTCTTTCTCTGAATTTTCCACTCCAGGGTCTATTTCTTCTTGTGATGCATTTCTCAATGTCTTCCAAAGTAAAGGCTTACGACAGGAGGTCATTTGTCCCTGTGCTAGCTCACCAGAGGCTCTCACTGTGGCCATCCGAAGGTATCGGGTTACATTAATTAAAGCAGACAGCTTGTAGAACAAGCATGATGAAGTAGCTAACTCAACTGTAAGCCCCCAAATCATATCAGTGTTAATGCTCTGCCTGTAGAAGACAAAATGAGATTCATCATTTTCAGGACCAAGTAATGGCTGGAGACTTGTCTGTGGTTACCAGGTGGGGTTGATTTTAGAGTTAGCAAAATGTTGTATTGCTGAGTCATTATCCAATGTAGGGAATCTGAGGATTTGCATAATGCCAAAGCCTTGCCATAAACAAAGCAAAGCAGAAAAAAGAATATTCACAAGTAGCTGTGAATTAATTTGTGCCACATACAACTTGCTTCTTCTCTTCCACAACAAAGTCAACATATTATTATAGAGCTGTCCTAATGATCTGTATTTCCTACTGACCTTCCTTCTGTTCTTTTCTGTGCATCTTAACAGCTTTTTCAATGTCCTTCTTCCTTTTCTGCAGAAATGAATGTTGCTTTCATTATGTTATTGTGGTTATTATGTTAACTGTTTCCCTCATTATGTTACTTTGATGCACATCGGTTCAAAGAGCCTTTCCCTAGTTTTTCTGAATTCTTTATATTTTCAGTTTATTATGGCACAATAATATTCCATTTCATTCTTCCACCACAATTTTTCATTCATTCCTTCATTGATGGGTGTCTTATTTTTGTTCCAGTCTTTGCTACTAGAAAAAAAATACTGATGTGTGTGTGTGTGTGTGTGTGTGTGTGTGTGTGTGTGTTTGTATAATATGTATGAAACCTTCCTATTCTCTTAAAACTCCTTGGAGATATATGCCAAATAGTGGTGTTTCTGGATCAGAGAGTATGCCCATGTTAGTGGCTTTTTAGTATAATTCTAAATTGTTTTCCAGAATTGTTGAACCATTGCCCAGCTGCACCAACGCTATTTGTCTTCACCCAGCTCTTCCAACATTTATCATTTTCATCTTCTGTCATCTTTCCCCATCTGGTGGGTGCGAGATGAAAACTCTACCTTTAAATTTTTTTTATTTTTTATTATTAATGATTTGAAGCTTTCTTTCATATAGTCATTGATAGTTTACATTTCTTTATGAGAAAAAAAAATGTGTTCATTACCTCTGATCACTTATCTTTCTACTGGAGAATAACTTTTATTCTTATAAATGCTTTGGTTTTTTTGTACAAAGTTACCAAACAGTTTATTTTCTGACATCTGCTGTCCATTAATTTGGGGGGAAGAGGGAAGGAAATAAATGTTGAATACTTTAGGCCCAAGCATTTTACATGAAGTTGTTATGCTGTCTTCAACTCTGCCCTCTGGAATACTGCACTGAACACATTTTGAAAAATGCTGATTTTTGGAGCAACAGAGCAGCTTGATAACACATCAAAGAGAGGCCTGGTCTGTGATAAGCATATTTTCTCTCAGCATGGGCATTAAATCTCCCAGGGTGCTTTTACTAAGTCTAAGCATTATTCTCAGTGTCCTTGGTCATAAGTCACCCTATCACCACTGCCTTCTTCCTAGTGGTCTAGCATGAAGGGAGGTAGCTTTTTAAGTGCTTTGGGAAGGAGGTGGCTAAGGTTTTATTATGCTCAGGATGAGGAAAAGATAGAGTCCTATAACCATAAGTAAAAATAGAAACACCCCCAAACATTAAATCATCACTGTCGCTTAAATAGCTTCAGTTGTCAATTATCCCAGATGCCAAATACCCAGATAGCCCTTGGTTATCCATACTAATGAGGGGAAAGGAGCATGTGAAAGATTCAGTCACTATTTTTGTTTGGGTCTTGAATGTTTACTATAACTTGCCTTCACCTGAGCAGCAATTTTCCTTCCTAGTTATATTTTATTTAGGCTAATAAGATCATGCAAGAAGAAAAGCTGACATAAGAAAGCCCAGTTTACAGAAGAGAGAAATTAAGGGAGATGATTTGCATGACTAAAGGATTCTACTTCACAAAAGATTCACTGGAAGAGCCCTTTCCAATAATATCTCTTCTAGGGATAACTGTTGGTTTGCAGACTGCTCTTTCTTAACAAGAGAGGCAGAGGGCTGGAATAATTTATACTGATGGTTAACAGGAAAGGAATATCCCCAATAATGATGCAACATCTTTGCTACCTCCATGTAAATCAATGAGAAAATATGAATATATTTACTAAAATTCAGTATGCACTTAATTTTTAGGGACATAGTATATGAAGTGAGGAACCATTTTACAATTAACACTTCATTATAATAATATGAAATAATAATGAAGGAGAGCTGGAGATTAGGCAAACCCATAGTCCTTTCTTTGGTCTTACAATGCAGGAAGTGTGAAGTGGTTTGGTTATGTGTAGATCTGTAGCAGTTTTACTTTTCTGTTAGCCAGTAAGTGTTTATTAAACAAATATTATGTGCCAGGCACTGTGCTTGGAGACGCAAAGCAAAAGACAGTCCTTGCTCCTAAGGAGCTCAAAGTCTAATGTTAGAGGTAGCCTGAAAATAACTCTATACAAACAAGATTTATTTTAGGACAAATTGGAGATAATTAGCAGAGAAAATGCACTAGCATTGAGGGGGAATCAGTGAGGGCTCCTATAGGAGATGGGTTTTTACCTGAGACTTGAAGAAAATCAGGAAAGCCAAGAGGCAGCGGCAGAGACAGAGAATTCCATGTCTGGAGGACAGCCAGTGAAAATACTCACAGCTAGGAGACAGAGCTTCTTATTCGAGGAACAATGAGGAGGCCAGTCTCACTGGGCCACCATGGACTTGGAGGAAAGTAAAGTATAAGAAGATCAGAAAGGTAAAAGAGGCCAGGTAGTAAAGGGCTTTGAAAGCCCTATTACATTTTGTTTTGGCAAACAAAAATAATTTGTTCCCCTTAAAAATAGAAGAGAAGCAATGTGGTATAGTGGAAAAAGAGCCAGCCTTGGAGTCCTGAAGACATGAGTTCAGGTCCTGTTTTCTGACATATTCTACCAGTTTCCCAATGGTTGCTGATCTGCAGTAGTAGAGAAAGTTTCCTAACCAGTATTTCCTTATATCAATGAAGTCACAAGCTTATACTAACTTATGGGAGGAGGAATTAGCCTCTCAGCAGCTGGCTACCAAGGGGAAACCAACCTTGGATTAATAGTTGATCGTGCATAATTTACAAAGTGAATAATCAAGGGCTTACTGTGATTTAGATTTCCATTCATTAGACTCACAGAGGGAAAAGAAAGTTGGCTTAGAGTGTGCCAATATCAACTTGTTTTGTTATTAAATAGTTTTTCAGTCATGTCTGATTCTTCATGACCCCATTTGGGGTTTTCTTGGCAGAGATACTGGAGTGGTTTGCCATTTTCTTCTCCCTGTTCATTGTGCAGATGAGGAAACTAAGGCAAACAAGGTTAAGTGACTTGCCCAGGGTCACACAGCTAGTAAGTGTCTGAGGCCAAATTTGAATTCGAGAGGATGAATGAATCTTCCCAACTCCAGGCCTGGCACTTCATCTGCTGTGCCGCCTAGCTGTCCCACTGGTGTCAACTAGAGAGTAGAAAAAAGAAAGAGTAAAAAAGAGAGCCAGCCAAATGGTGAATAATCAAGATGTCTTTCAACAAATAGTTACTGAACAACAGTTATTGATTGTGTACTATAAGGGACACAGTGGGGGAGATAAGAAAAAAAGTCTTACAGTGCTTCTGGGAGACAAGATTTAGCACAAGAAATAGAAAATTGTGAATGACACTAAATTGCCAGTCATGGAGGGAGTCTAGGATATGTTCTCTGTGAGCCCATAATTGAGAGCTGCCAGGGTAGTTTCAGGGTTCCTTCAATTGTATGATGCTCCTTTAGAGATGAGGGTGCAACACACTTGGAGATGTGATTTCCTCTATCACTGTCAAGCAGTCAGTCTGAGCCCACAGACCCACTAAATAAAATGGAATTCACTTTATTGCAGACATGCTAACAGAGGAAATGAAGTAACACAGGATAAAAACAAAGTGTGCTAAGTAGCTAAACACATTACCTCTTGCAGTCCCTTTAGTGAATATGGCTTTTATTCTTTGAGTATTTCATGCTATTCCCGTGCATTCTTGTTATTTTCCCATGTACTGTGAGTGGGACTTAAGAAGCCAGAGTAACACAGCCATAGTCTTTCTACCTGTTTCCCGGGTAACCAGCAAAAAAGCCTCTGAGCCAGGTTATAGTCAATGGAAGGAAATAAGCAAACGTCCCTGCAGAGCGTTGTCTCAATACATTATAGCTGTTGGTGTTACAAAAAGAGCTGATGGAAATAGTAGATGATGGAATACCAGTGTGACCATGATCGCATCTTAACTGAATTTGTGTGAGGCAACAGTTTGTCCCAGACATAACTTCCACTTTTCTTGCTCGTATTCCTGCCTTTCCATCTTAATCCAAAGCATCTTCCATCCATTATGTGGAATACTAACTAGGAAGCTATGCAATGCTGTCATACCCTGTGCCCTCCTTTTTTTTTATTTTGCAAAGCTCTTCATAGCATTTGTGGAGTTTTTCATTCAAGGTTCTTTTCTAACAAGCCCCATACATCTTATGTGACTTCATCTTGCTTTCATCCAGTCTGCAGGTTAAAAAATAATAATACAGCTAGTATTTATATGGCACCTGAAGGTTTGCAAAGTGCTTCGCATGGCTTATTTGATCTAGTGGAAAACAGTAACACTAGACAGAGAGCTGGCAGACCTGGGTTCTAGGACAAGGTGTGCAACTGGGCAAATCAGTCCAACCAAACAGGAAGAGAACCAGGAGAAAGCATTGTCACAGAAACTGAGAAGGTATTTACAAGGAGAAGGTAGTGGCAGATGTCACAGAAAGGCCATGGAAGATAAAAGATGTAAAAAAAAAAGGCATTAAATTTAGCAATTAGGAGAACAGGGGTGACCTGGGAGATAGCAGTTTCAGTAGAGTGGTAGGAATAGAAGCCAGATTGTACAGGGTTCAAGGACTAAGTCTTGAAGAAATTGGGGCAGCAAGTGCA